CCTTTTTCACCTCAGTCTTCACAGGCAAGGTCAGCTCCCAGACTGCTGTACCTGGCAGCACAGTTTGGGGAGGAGGTGAGTAGCCAACAGTGGTGAAAGACAGGCTAGGAAGTATTTAGAAAAACTGGACACATCCAAGTCCATGGGGCCAGATGGGTGCTGAGGGAGTTGGCTGATGTGATTGAAGAGCCACTGGCCATTATCTTTGAAAATTCATGGCTATCAGGAGATGACCTGGATGATTGCAGAAGGGCAACCACAGTGCCCATATTTAAGAAATGGAAAAAGAAGGATCCAGGGAACTACAGACCAGTCAGCTTCACCTCAACCCATGGAAAAATCATGGAGCAAATCCTCAATAAATTAATTTCTAAGCACATGGAGGAGAAGGTGATTAGGAACAGTCAATATGGATTCACTAAGGGCAAGTCATGCCTGACCAACCTGATTGTCTTCTATGAGATGACTGGCTCTGTGAATATGAGGAGAACAGTGGATGTGATGTACCTTGATTTTAGCAAGGCTTTTGATACCATCTCTCACAACATTTTCACTGGCAAGCTAAGGAAGTACGGGCTGGATAAATGGACTGTAAAGCAGATAGAAAACTGGCTGGATCATCAGGCACAGAGGGTAGTAATCAATGGCTCGATGTCTACCTGGCAGCCGGTATCAAGTAGAGTGGCCCCAGGGGTAGGTCCTGGGGCTGGTTTTGTTCAATATATTAATCAACGACCTGGAAGATGGCATAGAGTACACCTTCAGCGAGTCCACGACAGAAAGGATGTGGACTAATTGGAGAGAGTCCAGTGGAGGGCAGTGAAAATGGTTTGTGGGCTGGGGGACATGACTTGTGAGGAGAGGCTGAGGGAACTGGGCTTATTTAGTCTGGAGAAGAAAAGACTGAGAGGGGATTTAATGCAGCCTTTAACTACCTGAAGGGGGTTTGAAAGAGGATGGAGCTGGACTGTACTCAGTAGTGGTGACAGATGACAGAACAAGGAACAACAGTCTCAAATTGCAGCAAGGGAAGTTTAAGTTAAAGATATTAGGAAGAATTTTCTTACTAGGAGGGTAGTAAAACACGAACAGGTTGTACTCCTGAGGTTCCTTCCAAGCCTAATTTTCTGTTTCAATGATTCTCTAGTTCTTCTATATTCTTTTTGAGGTGTGGGGACTAGGACTGGACACCATATTCAAGGTGTAGACACAGCGTGGATTTATAAAGGGGCATAATGATACTTTCTGTTTTGTTTTCAGTTTTGTTCTTATTAATCCCTAACATTTTGTTTGCCTTTTTGATAGCTGCTGAGCACTGAGCTGATGTTTTTAGCAAGCTGTTTAGTATGACTCCCAGATCTCTTTCCTGTACAGTGCCAACTAATGTTGAGCCCATCATAGTATATGTATAGCTTGGGTTATTTTTACCCATGTGCATCACTTGACTCTTATCTGCAATGAATTTCATCTGCCATTTAGTTGCCCATTCACTTAATCGTGCAACATCCTTCTGTAGTTACTCACAGTCTGCCTTGGTCTTTATTACTTTGAATTGAATTGAATTCAGTGTAACTAACCAGAAAAGCAGAGGACAAGGTAGATTTGCACTTTTTAGACTAACCAAACTTCCCCCCTCCCTCTTCTCCCCCTAATCTCTCTTGCTCTTTCCCCTCCCTCCCTACCTTGTCTTTCGTGTTCTGATTTCTCTCTCCTTCTACTCTGCTTTCTGCAGGTCCTTTCATGGTATCTGATGAAGTCAGCTACAGCTCATGAGAGCTTGTGCTGTATGTGTGTATGTATACGTGTATGTGTATATACATACATACAACGTTTCTTTGGGAAACATTTTTTGGATCTTGAATGGAATTTCTGGGCAGAGAGAGACACTTAGGTTCAAGTCCTTGCTCAAATGAAGATTTGAGTATTTATATAAAGTGGAACGATCCAAAAAGAGAGACTGAGGGAGTTTCACCCCAACTAGCTAGTAGCCTGGTGGTTAGGGCACTTGCTTTGGATGGGGATACAGGAGAGCAGATGATTCTGTTTTACCTCCCAAATGAATGCCTTAACCACTGAGTTACTGGCATGCTCACGTGTGTATTATCTGTTGTTTCTTCAGTCCAGCAGTGCCTTGCTGTCATCCCAATGTGGAATGGAGAAGTTTTGGTGAGGAAAACCATTCCCCAGCCAGTTCTCCCTGCCAGCCTTCCATTTAAGATTGTGAAGGATTTTCAGTATCTTGAATCTTCAGCATGTAGGCTTAATCTTGCAGACCTTTTACAGAAAAATCCACATTCATGCAAGTGGTTCTATTGGAGTCCAAAAACGTGTATACAGTTTCTCTATAACCATATTTTATTCTAGTGACAACCAGATAAATAACATGTCACTACTTTGCAGGTAAACAGCTAGAACCACTAGTCTCTTTTCAGAACTGGTGGGTGGAGCTGTCTTTAGGAGACAGGGGGTGGGGTAGATAGGGGATGAAAAATAAGGCAAAATAGTGGGCCACTAGGCAAATATAAAGACCTAGCCAATGAGGCCATATCTGTCTATCCGGCTGTTTTATCAAGTAAATCTAACTGCTGTTGAGACAATCTATATTTAGTTTTACGAACGCTGTACTTGAAGGAACTTTGACAGCTTTAAAAAGTCACACCCCTACCTGGGAACTTTGTGTGTACAAGAGTTACAAATGACACCTTCAGATAAATAAGAATGAGTGACAGAGAATGAGGAAAAATATTTCTTTAAACTGCCTTTTCAATTTGTTGGTGTGGCACAATCCAAAGCCCTTTTTGGGTTTATTTATGGTCTTGTATGTGGGTCTTCATGTAGCTATAAGGATATCAAGGAAAATTTGATTGCACAGTCACCAGCCTTGTTGGAGTGATCAAGAGCAGGGTTTTACCTCAACTATTTTTACACTTTTTTCCAGTGTTTTGTTTTAAACATTCAAAGAGTGTCAGCCTGCTGGATGCTTTCTCTGAAGCAGTCTTTAGGACAGGGGTGGGCAATTATTTCAGCTGGCGGGCCACTTAATAAGTTTTGGTGAGCTGTCAAGGGCTGCACACATAAAATCTTTAAGAAGATATCATTTTAACAAATTATAGATAAAAAAAAATCGTATACTAAAAATAAAACGTCTACTATATTTTAATTTAATTTTTTGTAATATTCCTGATTTGTTTTCTTGAGTAGTGTATGGAAAAGTTATTGCATAATAGCCCAAAATAAAATCTTACTTTTATATATATTGTGTGTGAAGGGGGGTGGGATGGATATGGGAGTGTGTGGAGGGTGGGTGTGGGGGGTTTCCCATGTGCTAGGTCCCAGGAGCCAGCTGGGGGTGGGGAGAAGGAGGAAGGGAGGGGGGTGGCAGGAGGTGTGTGCAGCAGAGCTCACCTGGGCAGTGTGGTGCAGCTGTGGTCAGCTCTCCCTCCTCTGCCGTGGCTCTGTGGCTATCCCCGCAGTGCTCCACATGGAGCCAAGCCCTGCCCACTCCCAGCCAGGGTAGCCCATATCATGCTTCTGCTTGCACCTACTCTGGGCCTTCCAGACAGCACTGCCCCAGCCCTGGCTAGTGCACACAGCTTCCCAGTGGGGCTGCTACTACAGCTGCCTGGGTAATGCTTGCTCAGCTCCCCCTACCTCCAGGAGCTCCTCCTCCTCTGCTCCCTGCCCCTGCTGTGCCACTCCGGGCAGCAGATTACACAGGGAAGTCATGAGGACACGTGCCAGACACCAGATGACCAACCAGGCAGGGGGGAAGCTACAGCTGGGTGGCTCCTGCCCCCATGTGCAGGGCTCCAGCTTCAGCTCCCAGTTGCCTTCTACTCACTTGGCTGCACAGTGTCTGATGAGCAGCCACATGTGGGTGCTCGAGTGGGTGGAAGGTAGCTAGGAGCCAGAGCCCTGCATGCTGGGGCAGAGCTTCCTAACTGCAGCTTCTCCCCCTCCTGGCTGGGCATCTGCTCTGCAACATGTGTCCCCATGGCTGCTTTCACATCCCCAAGCTACCTGTTGCCCAGGGTAGTGCAGCAGGAGGAGGAGGAGCCATTGGAGACAGGAGGAGTCAAGCACTACCTGGGTGACTGCAGCCCCAACAAGAGCAGCCCTGCTGGGAACCTGTAAGCACTGGCCAGGGCTTTTGGTGGGCACAGGCAGGAGCACAGCCTGGTCAGGAGCTCAGTGTAGGCGTGCTGTGCAGGAGCAGGCAGAGCTTGGCCCAATGTACATACAGTCATTGGTGGGTGCTGCTCACAGGCCAGATCCAATTAGTTCGTAGGCTGGATCTAGCCCGCAAGCCATTTTTTGTCTATCCCTGCTTTAGGACTTCTTCCAAGTCCATTAGACTCTTGAATGTCTCAAATACTATGGTGGACCCTGTATTTTGAGCCACTCAGCTAGAGACAAAGCACTGTAATGTGCTCCACTGGATGTGGGGAAAGCCTTTTTTCCTGCAACAATAACCTTCATGGCAGTATGATAACAGTAATGATGGATGATTATGATTGATGCAGCAAAAGCCCTGTCTTGCAGCCTGGCTTTTTTAAGAATATGAAGTTGAAACATCTTCCTTTGAGAAGGCCATCTTCTACCACAGAATTTATCTTCAGAGCAATGAGAGACTACTTTTGAAGCAGTTTGTGTAGCTTCTGTTTGATTCTTTTCTCTTCTGTAGGTTTTCCCTCCTGTACTCTTTTCATTAAAAATCAAAGGAGGATGGGGCTGATTTATCCTTCTCAGAAGAAAAACAAGCACTTGATCAACATCCTTCCCTTTGTCCCAAGATAGGAATTCCCTGTATTGAAGTTAGAACAGCTACTTTCAGACTATGGTTCACCATCAAGTTGGATTAAAAGCCATGTATCAACTGCACACTATAATTGATATCCTGACATGCATTTTTGATTGAACTAAACTTGTCAGCTCTAGGTAGATGTTCAGATCTGTGATTTATATTTTCATCCTTAATTGTAACTTGATCTTTTTTCTAGGACTTATCACAATAAAAGAGTCCCATGAGATAGAAGCCAGGCTTAATGAAGTGGAGAAGCTTCTGAAGACTATTATAAATATGCCATGGAAAGTAAGTATGCCAAGTGCCATACCCTCCTGAGCTTCAGACCCTGATTTCTTCACATAGATTGGAAGCTGGGTGGCTTATTGAGCAGAAGGAGGAGCTGGTCAAGGCCCTGCACAGTGTCATCTCTACCTCCTTCACTGTCTCCTGCTTTTCCTACTGCATTATTTCTGCCTTTACTGTCACACAGCCCTTTAGTGTCCCTCTCTTATTCATCCCTTGGCACATCTCCATCCTTTGCCTTGCGTACCAAACTGCCACCGTCAATTGATTTGATTAGACTCCTGCTCACAACACATTCTTTGAAGCCTGACACAACTAATTCACTTAAGGAATGTTCTTTTTCCCCTTGTCTTTCTGTACACTTACACATATGTTTAATATGTCTGGGATGATATACATATGAATAAGCAGGCTGGATAAGCATGTGTCTAAGATGGTATACGAATAACACATCTTGCATTCATGAAAAGAGTTGAACTAGATGATCCACAAGGCCTCTTTGAGCTCTAGAATTCTGTCTGACCTGTGCAGTTTGTTGAATTGAGGGTCTGACTTTGCCTTCGCATTCACAAGAGAAGACCCTAAATTACTTTAGTGGAGCTTAGTGTGGGCACAAATGTCCCCATGTATGTTTTCAGCTCTCCTTTCCCCCACCCCCTATCCTGGGACAGGTCGTAGACTTATTTGAGCAAGAGTGACCCTGTATTTTCTTCTGTTTATTGTTCCAGGTATACTAAGGACACTTGTTAAATAATAACAAAATGAGTAAAAATGTGTACCCTTGCCCCTTTTTTGCTTCCTTTTAATTGTAGCAGGACTTAGTCCCTTTTTTTTTAATTGGACAGGTCACTTCATCTCTTTGTCCCCTTGGTTGTCCATTTGCAAAAAGGTTATAGCACCATTTGTTTATCTGGTAGGCTATTGGGAGACACACTTAATGTTTCCAAAACACCTTGAGGTGCTTCAGAAGGGATATTTAAAGATCATGAAAAGATCATGATTCCTGAAATTCAGCCGCAGACCTATGAGTTAGGAGACATGGGATGTGTTCTTGGCCACAATAGAGATTTTGTTCTATGAATGGACAGGTTTTCCAACATGAGCAACTGTAATGGGGATAAAAATATTTTGCATGGAGAAATAATTAATTATTTTTAAGGTGCTTTCATTCCTCAAAAGGAACATGCTATAGAAATGACAAAGTATCTTTTATCGACGTAATACTTTTAGTGCAATGAATGAAGGGCCAGGCAATTCATCAAGGGCCAGACAAAGTCTAACTGTATGCCAGTTACAGTAATTCTGCATGTCAATTGTATTGCTATATAAAGGTCTGGGATGCTGAAATAAAGTGTGTAGTCATTTCCTCATGTCATGACAGAGTACTTACCAATAAAGCTCACTTATACAAAGGCTGGTTGCATGAAAATAAACAAACTCCCACTGGAAAGAAAAAACACATGACTAATTGGTGACTATTGAGACCGTCAACTACTTTGAATGGATTTCACATCCATAGATCATGGGCCTGCCTTGCTGCTTGTATATATCAGGATGAGCTCTTTTGAACTCAGCGGAGCTGTACTAATCTGTGAGCAATGTAAAAGGAGTTTCAAATTGCACTGACATTTGGCAAGATGAAGTGACTTATCTAGGGTCATCCACCAGACCAGTGGCAGGTCCAGAAAGAAAACCCAGGTTTTCTGATTGTTTTATTGAATTTTATATAAAACACCTAGAAAGTCACTGATGGGCAAGTACCAAAGCAGTAAGCTATAAGTAATAACTTATTAAACTAAACCTGAGAGTATGTGGCATTCCCACTGTAGTCCATGCAAGTTCCATCTACTCAGCTTTACTTAAGACATGAGCCAGTAACTGATGGCAGCAGGAACAGGATAAATAAAAGAAATGATTAGCCCGGGAATTCACTTTTAAACATATTTTTTCCCCTTTGATAGATTCTTTTTTCCTCTTTTTCAGTATTCTAGATCAGAAGTCGTCCTTACCTTCTTTGAAAGATCTCCTTTAGATCAAGTGTTGAAAAATGACAGTGTCCATAAAATTCAACCAAGCTTTCAAAGTCCAGTTAAAATATCAGGTAAGAAAGAATGGCTGAATAAAAATAGTTTTGTACTCTTGCTTTACAATTTATAGAATATCTTGGTGGAGGGCAGAACATAGTATATATGGTAGAGGTGTGGACACGAACAAAATATCTCCTTTAGGCATTTTGGGAATTTTACTTCATTAGCTGCTTGGCATCCATTAGCCATTCCTTGAGAAGTCTTTACCCTTGTGGTGCACATACAATTGCATCATCCTAGAAGATCTTTGGTATGAGAAACATAATAATATATTATTTCTGTAAGATGTACAAAGTTATTAAAAATAAATTGGTTACAGTTTATACTAAGGGCATATTTATAAATATTTGATAAAAGATTAATGAATGAATAATAACTATGATAAACACCTGAGCAGTATGTCTTACAGTTAGTTTCAACCTCATTGGTAGATTTGTGAAAATGATTATAAATGGTGAAGTCACTTGTTAATTGATCGGTTATCATACAGTATATGAATCCTTTATAAAACTATTTATCAAGATACCTTTCAAGAAAAGCAGGAGCATGCAGATCTGATGGCTGTAACAACAGCTAATACCACTACCAGAGGACACCTTGTTAAGTCTTATTGTGTACCATGACATTATACAATATCATTCATTTTGTTTGATTGTCTCCTCTTGACTTCTTTTCTCTTTATGAGGCCTCGGGTCATGTTTTACAAATGCTCGTTGCCATATGGGTATGTTCAGAATGATTTTGACCCTCCTACACCCATTCAGAAATTGCTGCAAAGTTGACTTTAACTATTTCACTCCTCACTTATACATCCCTCTGCCATGTTAAAAGACAGAAGTTTACTCATCTTAACTTCAAAGGCCCCTGAAACTATAGGCCCATAAGCCTCACATTGGTTTTGGGGAAAATCCTTGAAAAAATTATCAAGGATCACATCTGTGAGGGGCCAGCAGGGGAGATCATGCCCAGGGGAAATCAACATGGGTTCATCAAAGGCAGGTCCTGCCAGACCAACCTGATGGCCTTTTATGACCAGGTAACTAAATCCCTGTATGATGGTGTCGCCATGGACATAGTCTTTCTGGACTTTAAGAAGGCCTTTGACACTGTCTCTCACCCCATTCTCATTAATAAACTAAGCAACTGTGGCATTGATGCCTACACAGTTGGATGGGTTAGAAATTGGCTGATGGGGCACACCCAGAGAGTTGTGGTGGACGGGTCGTACTCGACCTGGCGGGAGGTGAATAGTGGGGTCCCCCAGGGCTCAGTCCTGGGGCCTACACTGTTCAACATCTTCATCAGCAACTTGGACGAGGGGGTGGAAAACACATTGTCCAAGTTTGCCGATGACGACAAGATGTGGGGAGTGGTAGGCATGCTCGAAGGGAGAGAGAGGCTGCAATTAGATTTAGACAGACTACAGAAGTGGGCAGATAGTAATAGGATGGGGTTCAATGTAGATAAATGCAGGGTGCTGCACCTGGGGAGAAGGAATCCACAGCATACATACAAGCTGGGGAGTTCCCCCCTTGAGAGCACAGAGGCGGAAAGGGATCTTGGAGTCATTATTGACTCCAAGATGAACATGAGCCGCCAATGCCAGACCACAGCCGGCAAAGCCAACTGCACCTTGTCATGCGTCCAAAGATACATCTCAAGCCGGTCCAGAGAGGTGATACTCCCCCTCTACGCGACATTGGTCAGGCCACAATTGGAGTACTGCATCCAGTTCTGGGCACCGCACTTTAAGAAGGATGTGGCCTGCCTTGAGAGGGTTCAGAGGAGGGCCACCTGCTTGGTGAGAGGGCAGCAGGGCAGGCCCTGTGAGGAAAGGCTGAGGGACCTGAACCTGTTCAGCCTCAGCAAGCAGAGGCTGACAAGGGGATTTGGTGGCTGCCTACAAACTCGTTAGGGGAGATCAGCAGCAAATAGGAAGGGCCCTAATCCCCCCAGCAGCACCTGGGGTGATGAGGAACAATGGCCAGAAGCTGCTGGAGAATAGGTTCAGGTTAGAGATTAGGAGGCACTATTTTACTGTTAGGGTAGCTAGGATCTGGAACCAACTTCCTAGGTAAGTGGTCCTCGCTCCTACCTTGGGTAAATTCAAAAAGAGGTTGGATGAACACCTGTCTGGGGTTGTGTGATCCCAGCGTGTGCTCCGGCCAGTGGCAGGGGGTCAGACTAGATGATCTATTTAGGTCCCTTCTGACCCCAAACTACTATGAAACTATGATTGATGCATTTAACAGCAAAGCCACCTGCTTAAATAATGCTAAGTATATACACAGACTTCAAAGACATGTAATATATGAGTTGAGATAAATGTGGAACAGTAGTTTTATGCTTCATCCAGCATCCAGGTGAAAATTCAGGGGGAATGTCTACACTTCTGTCTCTGCAGTTCAGGTAGGTATGTTGGAGACAGCTTTTAACTACCTAGCTCCTGTAATGTTGGGACTGGGAATGTGGCTGTGGCAGCTGACAAAAACCTGCTACAGAAGTTGGTTAAATATTCAAGTTGGTAGCCTGTACAGAGCTCCTCATTCCTGGAGTAACATTACCTGCAGTACCCAAAATAGCTAGTTTAAAACTACCTTGTGTATGCCAGAGTGAGCTGCTGCCACAGCATGGACTGCAGTGCAGGTGCACCAATTTTTTAATCAGCATGTGTGCTGCATCTCCACTTATCTAATAAAGTATCATGTGAGGAGAGTATGGCTAATAGTCCTAATCCACCTTACCCAGGGTATGTGTCAAGAAGTGGTGGGTACCTTAATTAATCTAAACTACAGAAAGTCCTTATGATGAGAACCTCTGTGTACCTATATTGATAAGAGTTGTAGATAGATGTACCCAGGAGGTGTGAATGCAAATGCAGGGAATTAGTCATTAGTTCTTTATATGATACAGCTTGTACAGTTGAAAGATATTTACCTACTTTATGGACATACAGACTAAGCTGCAATTAAGTAGAACTGGTAGGATTTTTTGAAGGAAATTTTTCCTCTTGGAAAATTCATACTTATAAATGTAGCTAAGCCTGATCTAATGGCAAGGATATACGCTTATACATAATTTCTCTGCAAGTTAATTAGGAACGATACGTAATGTTTTGTGCATAGTTTTATGTTGGTCACCCATTTCAGTGCCTGACATGCTACACCGTCTGTCATCTTTCTTTACTTCTAAATTCTGTTTGATCTCTGAAAGTGCATATTCAGTCAGGCCTCTTGTGGAGTAAGTTCTCAAACACTGTACTGTAAAGGGTAGTCTGCTTGAAATTAATGTACTGCATCCGATGCTTATGTGGGTCTAAGCCAAGTATGACTTCCTTGAAACTGTGTTGCCTGACAGCTGATGAATCATTGTTTTTGTAGAACTTGGGGTTTATTTTGCTGTGAGAAGGAAATAATAGTTTAACTTAACAATCTCTTGCTCAGTGTGTGCCTGTAAGCACATGGCATGGTGGGAACAGAAAACAGATGGAATATGCCCACTATGTGGTAGGTGGAGCAGCAGTAGTTTGCAGCAATAAGGGCATGTCTATACTGTTGTCACTGCTGGAACCTCAGCATAGCATAGATGTATCCTAACTAGCTTTAGACTAGTTGTCTCCAGTACTGTAGCAGTCTAGATCTGCATGGGCTTAATTTCTGAGCATTTACCCAGCATCTCAGATGGGGTTTGCAGCCAGCATGAAGCTCACTCAGTGTAACTGTAGCCAGGCAGCTACTAATATCAGTTGTAGCAGGTTTAAAGTTAGCAAAGATTTTAGATATGTCTATGCAATCTGTAGCCACAGTGGTGATTGCAGTATAGACCTGCCCTGAGTGCAGAGGTGGATCTAGAGGGGGTGTGATGGTACAGTTGCATGCCCATTTGGCTATTGCATGTGAGTTCCAGAATGGGGTCGAATCTGCCCAGAGTTCCTGCTTTTATGCAGCTCTGGAGCCCAGGGGGTAAGCACTGCTAGTACCACGGCCACTGCCAGTATCTAGTTCCTTCCTTTCCCCTGCTGATAAATTGAGCAAGAAGGGAAGGGAGAAGAAGAGTAAATGGCAGCAGCCTTCATACCCTTAGCTCCCTTGCCACATGAAAGCAGGGACTGTGATCAGACCCTACCCCAGTCAGCTGGTGAGCTCAGAGATCACTGCTTATGTGAAGCCCCACCAGGAATCTGTGTTGACCAGGCAGTATTCTCCGAGCTCACTACTCATGCGCAGCACAGCCCCAGTGGCGGGGGGGGAGGGGAATTCACCTTTCTTGTCTCATTCCTGGATTCACTTCTGCCTGCATGCACTCACATGGTAGCTACTGGTTCTGGTGTTCCTCTGTCTTATGTTGAAAAAGTCGGGTGCAACCCCAGTTGTCAGTAGTTACACTAACTAGTATAAAATGATGCAAGACAATGAGGACCAAAGCCATTGTTTCTAATAAGTGAAAGTCCTATATGTCTGATTAGCCAACAGAATTCTATGTCAATCACCTTTATTTGTTGGCAGGTTATATCAAATTTAAAAACAAGCTTTTAATTGATATTAGGCCATTCTAAATTTTGCACAATGAAATGATTTCCCTTTTTAGTCCAGGGTGCCACTAGATGGCGCTACATGTTAACATTGGAAATGGTTTGTGCTGCAGACAAATGCTGTAATATTCTTAGGTCGCATCAAGGGCATGAGGAGGAAAAGAATGCTGTGGCATTCCAGGCTTACTTCACGTTGGATTTGATACACTTTCTAGGCAGCTTGTGGTATCAGAATAAGCTGCAAAAATATTTTCTATTCACTAAAAAAGAAAACAACCTATACCCAAATGCAGTCCAAATCAAATGGGGTTGGGGTGGAATTCATCAGATGATATCTGAATTTAAGCTTTGAGTTCACATCTCAATCTATCATACAATGTTTGCTAGAAGATGAGTCATGGTTGAAGTGTGATTCTGGAGGGATGCAGTAAAAAGCCACCCACACATACATTCTATTGAACTTGGATGCAATCAGAAATAGACTCAGAGATTCATTTCTTTAACAAAAATCTGGAAGCACATAAGCATTAACCTGAATGCCAAAATGCATCTTTATCTAAATACATTTTTAATGCATTAATTAAATTGATGCTGAGGTGACATTGTAGCCGTGATGGTCCAGGAAATATGCAAGAGGTAAGAATTTTTGTGGCTGATATCTTTTATTCAACCGACTGTATGGCTGGGATAGACATAGGCAAGCTTTCAAATATCACAGTGTTGTGTTGCACATTACACTTAGGACATACTAACTGCACTTAAAACATTTGCATTCAATTGTTTGAGCGGCAAATATATGCTAAGTGCCATCGTAGCATAGGTTGTAGCTGTGTTGGACTAATATCTGATATCAGATTCACACAAAGAACCTTGTCTGCCGATCATAGCATAGTAAATTTAGGAGTTTCCCAGCAAGGAGTATCTGCAGATTGGATTACCTACCATGTGTTGAATTAGCCTCTGCCTGCTCACAAGAGGAAATACCATTAGGAACGTTCTGTACATTGGCAGGGTTGGGACCAACAAACAGCTGTTTGTTGATGTCACCTCCTGCAGCACACGACGGCATACCAGACTCTTCGAAGACTCCAGTGCTTAGAATGTGGGTTTTTTTAGACTGCAGTAAGCATTACTGTGTGACTGCTCAGAAAGCCTTCAAACTTGTAGCAATGCTACCACAATCTAAATAAAACATGTCTTAAGTGTAATGTGTGACAAGGGTCACAGTATCATTCCTTAGGCCTTCCTGTATAATTAAAGCCCTCTCTACACATTATAGGTATAATTCAATTAACTGGTTAATTGCATGATTACCTTGAGACCAGCTACACATACAAAGTAGCTATCACACAATAAAAAGCTCCAACCAGCTATAAAGTTAGACCTCAAAAATGTATACTAACTTTATATCTCGTTGCTATCGAGCTTTAATTTGTATGTGTAGCAGGGACTTCCCTGCAGCTGGGAGCCCCATCAGCTGACAGGGCTCCCAGTCTCAGGGGTGCACCATTCCTGGTGTGAAACTACTTGGCCCCAGGAGATCGTGGCAGCTGTGATCCCCCAAGGCCCAGGGGTGCATGAAACCCCCCGGGGCCCACTCAGGAGTCTGGTTCCTGGCTGCAGGTGAGGTGCAGCTGGGATCCAGAGCCTCATCAGTTGCTGGGTTTCTCCATTCTGGCTGCACCTAGGCCCTGTAGCTGGGAGCCCCCTGAGCAAAGGGGGATCCCAGCTGTGGCTTGCTTCTTCTTGCTGATGCAGGGGGAGTCCAGGATTGGGCTTCCCCTATACTGCAAATATGGTGCGATTGGATCTAATGTGCAATCCCACATGAGAGGCATGACTGTGAGGTTTTCCAGCAGGAGAGAAAGACCCTGATTGGCTGGATGGGGCAGGGGGCTACCTGGACCCCCTGCTTTGGTGTTCCTAGGGAGTTGGAGTTGGTATCTCAGGGGCTGCCCAAGGTCTCTGACTCAGGCTGCAACTTTAAAAAATTTTTCCTAGAGAGCCACTTAATTTTATTTCAGTCTTCTCTGCTTTTCGCTGTCAGAGTGGTACGTGGGTGTGCTTTCAGTGGTAAGCACCCATTGATTGCTGGATGTGGGAAAATGAGCCAATGTACAATGGGCACTTAATACCACAAATAGCTTTCAGTTCCATTGGCCCATGAATTGCTGATTGTTCCCTCCCCAGAAACAGGGGCACCTTCCCCACCCATCTCAATAGTGAGCATCGCCAGATCAGCCAGTTGCCACATGAGGGCTGGAGGTTGTGGGGACCGAGGAGTGGTGTAGCATGGGATGCCTGGAGGACTAACCACACACTAGTCACAGAAAGCTTGGTGTCCGCATTTAACACTGATCTGGTTCATGAAGAACTGGTTCAAAATAATACCATTTTTTCAAGGTATACTCTTGAAATGCTCTAGGAGGTTTACACTGTTCTAAACTGGCTTGTATATCTGAACACTTGCAGTTTAAATGTCATTTAAATTTCTCTAAGGGTCTGATTCTCCCCTGACTTTGGGTAAATCACAGTCTGCTCAGGTTAAAAGTGAGTGCAAGTGAGAGAAGAATTCAGGTTTTCTCAGCCCTAAGGTAATTCACTGATCATAAAACAAGAAGCAGTTGCTAGTCTGACTTCCCATTTTACACAGGCTTGAGTTAATTCCCAATTGAACCAGCGTATATGTTGTAAAACAATTTCTTCTGCATTGAAGGTTTTTGTGGTGATGTCTTCTATTGGACCAATGGTATAGTTGGGAAGGACATAGAAAAGATTTCAGGTACCACGGTAACCGTCCTTAAGTCTCTGGGAGAGAAGCAGACACAGCATAGCTAAGCAACAGATGGAACAAGGGCATGTGTAAAACCATCTGTAAATAAAAACAGAGAAATTAGCAGGTAGCCAGCAGATGAGCTCTCAAGGCCAATAATGTGTTCCAATGACCATAGGGATAAATTCTCCAGTGACATAAATGAACAATACTACAGGTAATTTGATGGTGTGAAACCTGCATTTAGCAGCTGGACAGTAATTTGATTTCCTGCAGAATTTCTGAAGAGTTAACTACAGGTTTATTTCCTTACTCCTAGCCTAAGAGCTTTAACTTTAAAACTAATTTAAATTGAGATTAAATTTTGGACTGTTAATTTAGAGCCACCTATTTGAGTTATAAATGATGGGCCCATGATGATTGCTCTCACTGAAGTTAATGAAATTGAGACCCCCCATAAGCTCCCTGCATTGTGCTTGCAACATGTTTACAAAGTTCACCACTTTGCAAGCAAAACAAATTGAGGTCAAAGTTAGTACAGACAATAAAATAAGCCTTCTATTTGTGTTATGTTGAAGTTTTGATGGGTCACTCTGTGTCTTGAAGACTAATTCTACTACATGATGGTAATTTGTCTGTGATTCTGCAAACCCTGACAGAATCACTGGAACCACTTGTATGAGTAAAGTTAAGCACAAATTTTTACATTTGGTGCCTTGACTTTGAAGGGTTATTCCAATTCTTCTCCTTACAATGCAGTTGTGTTCCTAAGGAGCTGGACTTATTGCCCAGCAAAATCAGTAGGGATCAGATTCTATTCTACCTATTAGGGACATAGCAAACTTACACAAAACACAACATTTACCACCTCTAGGGATACTGCTTCACTGAAGTCAAAGGGAATTTTGTCACTGGCTTTGATGAGAGAAGAATTGGGCCCTAACCCAGATTGCAAGGGCTTACATATGTTTAAAAAAAGAAAAAAAAAGAAACATGCTTTACTGGAAAAAGCAGCCTGTTAGTTTTACCCAGCCCTGTAGCATCTGTATAGATCAGGCACTTCAGCAGAACTTTTTAGACCTTTTATCTAAAGCTGATTCAGTCAGCTATTTGATAAAAGTGCCAAAAAAGCCCCACTAAAGCACCCGATCTATAAAGGTGTTGGGCGAGCCAGGTCCAACTAATGTGCTGCCTCTTCTGGGCATGTGCTGGGTTCAGCACGGGAGTGCACCGAGTTTAAAGTAAAGCACTGGGTTTTTTTGTGGGGTGGGGGGATAATATCTGTAAACAGCAAGATTTCCTAAATACCCTAGCACTTGGGGTCTTTCATGTTACTTTGATAGGACTTCACATGAGTCAAACGGCTTAAGCACTGGTGGGATTAGGTGGTAAGTGGCTATGAAGCCAGTATGAGGGCCCAGATCTTTGTTAAATTAAAATATGCTTTCAATTAATTGGCTTACATGAGTATTTAGTGCCCCTTCCGTGTGTCCAAAAGTCACATAACATCAGTTGTGCCAGATGCATGTGCACTCTGCCACCTTATTTCAGGAACCATCTCTCACCTCCAACATTTTATCTCTTTCTTTCTTTCCCCCAACAGAAATAATGCGATCTAACGGCTTTTGTTTAGCTAATACTGAAACAATCGTTATTGATCACAGTATACCAAATGGGAAAGACAAGCACCTGGATACAGATGCAGCAGAACACTTGTAAGTGTACAGTATGTTGTATATTATTCCTGAATAGTGTCTATTGTTAACTTTATCATAATCTCTTCTTGACACAATTTTAATATCCAGGTAAATGCACCAGCCATTGTATGTAAGACCTGGGTTGGTACAGCTGTCAATCCAGTTGAGGTTTTTCTGGGCTCCAAGGATCCAGTAGAAAAATATTCCCCATGGAAATCATTGTCTGTAGAGTGGAACCAGTCATCTTTTAATAGAAAGACTCGAGCTGGTCCTCTAGGGTAGGGGATCTTAACTGGGGTACCACAACCTATTGTAGGGTGATAGGTGCTAAGGGACAAATCTCCTTAACTCATTAGAGCTAAGGTGAGCTAAATTGTGGCAAAATGAAGTGCTCTTATATACAGGTGCATACTGCTCCAAGGTGGCAAATAATGTATTTCTTGGTAAAGAAAATCTTTTTTGTAATTTTGACTCCATTTTCTGCATGTTGTAGGAATTTGGGGATCAGACACTGCAAACAATAAAGCTTTCAAATAGAGTTTGAGTAGATGAGAATATCAACAGACTTTTTTTTAATGGAAATTTGCTCCTGCAGAGTTCTGTCATACCAACTGATTGATGTTTCACTTTAACAGTATCAATTAACTACAGGAAACTGTATATTCAAGAATTTTAAATATTTGTAATGAAAAACATTGAACTGCGCGTTAGTCAAGACAGTGAAAATGAAAGAAGAGAAGTCAGTAAAAATGTTGTGGATAAAATGGACAAAAACTTGCCCAGTGGAGTAGAAAGGTGCTAAATATATGTCAATTATATATTGTGATTTGGTTTTGGTGTAGACCCGATCCTCCTCTGTGATTATTTAGACTTCTCTGGTTTCTTGATCCAACAATAGGAAATGAAATTTGTGGAGTTGGTTGTGCTGCTTTCTAAATGTCTCTTGCCTCCCAAGCTTTGTGTCAGAAATTTTTGCATATGGAAATACATTAGGGAGGGATGCCGAGATAATGTCAAGACGCCTGGAATGTTGCCTGAAATGTAAACTTCTCCCATTAACATCTACCCATAGATAGCAGAGGCTCTACTTAGATGTAATAGATTGGACCTAACTCTTCTCACCATGACCTTACACCAGTGTAACTCCAGGGTCTTGAATGGCATCATTTTGGATTTATATTTGTGTTCATGGGGAGAACTCGTTTATACTTTTTTCACTAGCAGTGTTTTAGATAGTACGTGTTAAGGTAGTACGTGTATCTACAGCACATTAATGAATGTGTACACACGCCTAGAGTGAGAAGAAAAATATGTCTGTTGTAAAGTAATATATCTGTTGAGGGATTTGGGAATAATTAGTGAGGATAGAATAGGAATGTGATAATTAAGTTTTCTGCACATAACTAACAGTTTGAAGAACTATTGCCTCAGAAATCTTTGTTTCGGAAAATACCTGTTCACCATGGCACAGGGGCACATGAAATATCTCACTTCTATTGCTGTGCTGTCTGCTACAGTCTCTTCAAACTGGGTTCAGTTCCATAGGAACACTTTTTTTAAGAACTGTGAAAATCTACTAAGTCTTTCACTTTAAATAAAAGTTTTATACCTATTTTTCAGTAGAATATTAAAATAATTGCCCCCCCCACAACACACACACTTTGGTGTTTCATATCGTATATTAGACAAGAGAAACCATGTTTCAGAGTGCAGTGGAGTGTCTAGAGCTTTCCTGCAAGTGACTTGTGATATTTCTAGAAGGAAAAGAAACTAGATGTGAAAACTTGCCACTGCTGCTTCTTTGCCCTGCATCTTTGGTGTCACCTCTGAAATCACTTCCCTTAGGTCATCTGTGATGAGGTTGTTGGGATGACTGCAGTTGTGCTATTCAGTTACAGAAGTTTAATTAGACCAGAAGGATGTGATGATTCACTTTATACTGAAGCAATTCAGGTTCCATCTACTTAATCTCTCTTCAGTGAATTAAATGATATCTGTCTAAAGAGACGTTATAAAATATGAGCTGTTAGAAAACATCCCCAAGGCAGGTCCTGTAATTAGATCTGGGCAGGAAATTGTTTTCCCAGCCTACAAGAGTGTTTTCAGTTCAAAAACATTTCCTGTTTTTTATCAAAAATCAGAACATGGAGAGTAAGAGCCTTGCCTACTACAGAAAAGTCAGTGTATCCGTGGTTAAAATAGAGCCTGACATTTAAGTCCCTGGCCTGACTGAGATAGAATGGACTGAAAGAGTGGTATCTTGTAGCCCAAACGAGTCCCCCTAATCATAGGGCAGTAAGGTAACGCTCACTTGTACATGCATTCTCTCATTCCCAGAAGTTCTATCCTGGTCAGAGCTGGCATGCATATTGCATACAAAACTTTGGTTTTAAAAAATTAACATTTTCTGATACCCCAAAAATTCTGATCTCAGAGAATTCCTGACCTCTAATGCCAGGGTATGTAGAGAGTGCAGAAGGCACCAAACAAGGAGAAACTGAGCACATCTACATGTGAAATTAGTGTACATGAATAAACTCTGGAGCTTATTTCTCCAGAGTTTTTTGCTTCTTGGCATGCTGTTTGAATGTGCACCCTGGAGCAAAAAACTCTGGAGTATATTGCTCTGGAGTTTATTCACACACAGCACATTGAGCTCGGTTGGAGCAGCTTGATGTGCTGCGGAGGGGCTACCTGAGACTTGAGGGTGCTTCAGGGCAGGGCTAGCCAGCAGGCAGCCTTTGCATTGAAGCACCGTCATGCCAGCCGGGCAGCATCTACATGTGCGTTGCTGTGCATAAAAAAACTGCATTAGGCTGGTACTTGTATTTGCAAGTACTAGCCTGCTGCAGAGTTTATTAGTTTTGTGTACCATAATAGAGGCACTTGTGTAGATGTGGAAAGGTTTACTGCAGAGCTAATTAGGCAGCTCCACAGTAAATGTCTGGTATGGACATGCCCACTGAGAAGGAGGACACTTCTTGATTTCTAAAATCTAAAATATGTGCATAGAGGATGGCAATAAAACTATATAGGAAGTGGAGAAGGGATAGAAGGACCCAGGTGGAAACTGTAGTTATTCAGTCTCACTGGTATTAATTAAATATAGTGGTGTATTGCAGAAGCCAAATGGAGAGGATTATTTCTGCACTGAAAGGAATATATCTCCGTGTTCAAAACCAAAAGAAAAACAAATACCATGCAGGCTCTGTCCTCCATGTGCTAGGAACAGAGGCATTCAGAGTAGCTGCCAAATGCTGTGAGAATGAAATGAGAGGATCTGGGCCTTGATTACATGACTCATTTTTCCAGGGCTCACTTGCTAGCTTCCTTCCCTCAGTACCAGCAGCTGCTAAAGCAAGTGAGGGTGAGTCACTTTACTCCCGTGTGAAAGTGACTGGTGAATTGTTGAGACATTGAGAACAGAGATTCTTCTTAAGTGCTTTGTGTACAGTTATTGCCATATGATGGTTTGAGCCGCTCTTGGCAAGTGAACATTCACTGGATCTTCTCAGTGGTCTCTGAAATTGCCTGATGGGAAAGATTTCCTGGGGACACAGCCTTTCTGGAGGGAAGAGAAAATGGCTTGAATGCTTTTGATCTGGGCCAGCTTCAATGTGATGCACTTTACCTGAGCTTCATGAGAAATTGTACTATATCAGAAAGAGTCATAGGTGATAAGTAGCATTCAGTGGTGAAAAAGCTTCATAGAAATGCTTTTAGGTAAATATTTGAGCTAACAGGCAGTGGAAAATGTACTGCTTCCATCTAAGCACCACACTGTACTATGAGGGTTAGATCTTACAAATTTTATTCAGGGCAAGCATGAAAGTAACTCATCCTCCTCAGCCTCTTGTCAGTTCAGATCAAGCATAGTCCTGTGCTTGCCTGGCAGGGGGGATACCATGATCACCATGGTGACTTCCTAGCTGCACCCAGGGAAGACCTCTCTGCTGGCATGAGAGAGTACCCACATAAGAAATGCAGTTAACCTTAGCTTTATGCCCACTTTATGGAAACAGGAGACTCCTCTTTAGCTTGCTCCTGGGGCCTTATGGCTAAGGGCAAGCGAAACTCTGGGGCATGTGAACCCCAAGCCTCCTTGGGCCTGCAATTAGGATGCCCACCAAGGGTTTTGGAAACATCTGAAACCCCAGATGGGGGTGGAAGATGTTTGCCAGTAGTGGGGTCACTTATGGCTCTGGACTGACTCTTGGATTTGGAATTTGATTTGGCTAATTTGACTTGAAATATGGAAAATGAAAAAAAAAGTAACTCCTCCTCCTCCTGTTCATTGCTGTGGTTTAGCAAGACACAGACTTACTGTTACTGTGGGATGGGGGAACGTAACTGCTCCTTTTAGTTTTCCTCTCTCTGATGTGCTACCTCCAATAACATTTCACAGTTTTGAAAATGGCACTGGACTCTTCTGGCTGATGTATTAAGTAAACCTAATTACAGTGTATCCAGGCTTCACAAACTGCCTTTGTGGTTGTGGGCCTCTTAGGTGGTCTAGAGGTACAAGCAGTGGTCCAACAGAACGACTCACTGAGGTTTTGGAAGAAGAATTGGCTCTGTGGAAAGATCTCTCTCCTTCCAAGTGACCAGCACAAGGAGGAAGCTCCCACAACCATTAGAAATATTTCTGCTGTTACCCTGCCCTGATGTGAAATAAGTCTACTTTGTCAAGTTTATTCAGAACATTAGCCTGAAAGGTGGGCAAGGAGCATTAGCCTGAGGTGCAAATGGAGAAGACATTCTTGTCTGGAGATAGGTTTCCTCCCTAATGATTCCCTCAGTGTTCCCTAGAATCAGTCTTCAGCTTTTCTGCCTCTTTTCCCACTGTCTGTGATTGTTTATCCCCTCACTTTTTGTTCCTGACCAATGTTATAGAACTGTACTCAAATGATTTCATGCTTTTTCTCTTTTTACCCCCCCCCCTTTATTTTAGGTTTGAAAATGTCAGCGAGTTTACTTCAGAGCTGGAAGACAGTGATGACCCAGCAGCCTATGTCACCAATTTGACATACTATCATCTGGTTCCATTTGAGACCGATATTTTGGACTGAGGCAGTCCAGAGACCCAGTCAGCTAACATGCAGCCGACTTCTGTCCTAGGCTCTCATGTCCCCATTGCATTGCATTGCACTTCCATGAACAGAGCCTTGTAATTCAGATCACCAGCAGCGGAGTGGCTGTGAATATTCTATGAGACTGATGCTCTTCCGCAGTGACTCAAGAAGGTATCTCGTAAGGAGCTAACTGCTTCACTGCTAATGATCAACTCCTTTTCTGTGAAAGGAATAGATCATAGAACTACCTGGATTCAAGGAAATCTTTGTGCCAGTGTCCAGGGCAACCTCAGACAGAACCATTAGGCATCTTGCTCTAGTTTGGCCCCAGGGATCACTGATACCGTGCAACTTGTGGTAATGTCTATCTTTATTAGCTGCTTTCTATTATAAGGCACCACCAAAAGTTGTTTGCACATGTTCTGAGTGCACCTCTACCCAGTATTTATGAGAAGACAGACCAACTCCCAAACCAGCCAGATTCTAGGGGTGGTCACTTAAACCAGGTCTCATAGGTTGCTATTTGTTCAATTATAGGATAACTGGTGCCTTCAGTATAATGTCACATATACCATTGAGTGCCTGCAGGAAATACACACAGTCTGATTACTTTAATCCTTGGGTTTTGTCTTATCACCGGAGAGCTAACTTCTCATTCTGGAAATAATGTAGCAGATGGGTTGGTGGCATTGGAATGGAAAGTACACAGTAATTTGGTACCCTGAATGACTTCAGAGTTTTGGAAAGCTAAGCTATCATCCTACAAACGGTCGATATGCATGTTAGACTTTTGGATATGATTTTTCTCTTGAACCAGGAAATGTGAACAGTGCTTACAGTTGTGTATGCCAGAGAGATCATGACCTTCGGGTATTACTTTTCATAGAATGGGAGGAGATAAATGAGATGTTGAGATTTGAAGGTCTGTTTGACCTGAGAATTAAAGATAAGCAAAGAAAATAGGAAAAATGAAGAAATATATAGCCCACTGACGCTCACCTACTAAGCAAGATTCTAATCTTGCTTTAAACTGGCTTCATACTGGTGCTATCCCATTGAAACCAATGGATTTACACCAGTTAAGAGTTAGCAGAATCAGACTCCATAGCCCCTTAACTGCCAAGTAGTGCAGTGTGAACTTCTCTTTGGGTTTCATCTTGTTGCATACTCAGAAATCCCAAACTGAGCCAAGAGGACTCCACAACCTGCATGAAGGGGCATTGACCTCTCATCAGACATTTGGGCACATAATTACCAGCATGAATTTAAAGGGATATGAACTGCGAAGAATGCATTTTGAGCTAGTTATCTCTACAGTGACTTTGGCTTGATCCTGAAGAACTTGGTACAGCCCCTCTCCTTTTGCAGACTCTCTAGGGCTACATGTATAATAACAGTAGAACAGAATTTGCTATTGTAAATAATAAATTATTGAGAATCCTAATTCTTTTACACAATATGTTTTAAAAATATATTTTAAAAAATAAAATGTTACTCACATGAAGTATGCTATTTGCAGTTTAACCTGATGGCCTCCATTTATTTTTCTTGGAAAGGAAACAGGAATCAGGAGACATGTTTTCTCTCTGCCACTGCTATTAACCTGCCGCATGACCTTCAGCAGCTCTCTTGGCCTCTCAGTTTTATGCATTTATAAAATATAAACAAGGGGTTAAATTTTCAGATGTCCCTATGTTGCTGCAATGTTGACATCTGAGTTGTTGGAGCATTCTTGTAAATGGTACTCAGACAGACCTGCTTTTGGTAAGGCACCGTAAGATTTATGGATAAAAAGAGTTGTGCTAGAGTGCAAATTTGTGACTGAGTTTAAACGTGAGCAATTTTCTTCATCGTGGGAAGACAGTCAGCTACATACATGAATGAGGGTAGTTTTTGTGAACTGGTTAAATCTATAACGAAGACCTACCATACAAACAGAAATGGCACTAGGTTCACTTCAATCAGTTTTTTAAAACCAGTTTAGTTAACCAGATTCAAAAGAGGGGTTCAAGTCTCTCTTTTTGCTACATGCACACACACCAACTATATTAAAAGGGCAATATGAAGGTATTGTCAAGGTCAAGCACTTGCAAGTTAGGAAATGACAGAATCATGGTTGCCTGCACAATCTTCTTGTGTGATACATAACAGGTAGCCCTTGCATTTGTTCCTACTAGAATAGCCTCTGTAGCTATGACATCATCACTATGTTAGAAATAGCTTATGCCAACAGAAGGAGTTTTCTCCCCCATGCTCCTTGTCTATATGCCTTTGCCAACAAAACCATGTAGCAAAACCTGGCCTTAAATTATATACTATCTTTCCCCCTATAGCAACCCTGTTGCATTCAATGTAAAGAATGGGCCTGTTGTAGGGATTAACCCTGAACCCTAAATTTTCATTCCAGGTGGTATGTGAGAGTGGGATGTAGGGGGCATAGGTTCTTCCTCAAACCAGAACTACACCTTCCCACTCCCTCCAGTCTTCAGTCTTTCCCTGTTCTAGTCCTGCCCCTTCCTCTTGCAAGGTTGCATCTTTCAGTCCAGAGCTCACTTAGCTATTCTGCAGCAGCAGTCCCTGTATAGTCACAGTCTCATCTGAAGCTCTTTGTCGCAATGAGCTCCTCCTGCCCTTGCAAGCCCCACTCTTCAAATCAGACAGCTTCCTCTTCCAGGCTGCCTGGAATCAGCAGGAACTGTCATTGTGAGAGCAAGGGAGAGTCTGCTCAGGTGAGTAGTTGCTTCACCTCAACTGATGTGTACCCCAGAGGGAGAGGTTATCACAAAGAAAGTCATGCTCATCCCTGAAGTATACTTTGTGCATATAGCTGCTATAATCTAGGATGTCCCCAACCATAAATTACATGGGACTCTTCAATGGCTTGATGAAGTTTGGGTGGATTTTCATGGGGAGAACAAAAGGTTCACCTGTCAGACTGTAGCCCTTGCTAATGTTTTCAGAAATCCATAAGAACTTTTTAAGACCAGCAAAATTGATTACTGTTCTGGCTTCTCAAACAGCAGAATCCTTCAGTTGAATTTTTAAAAATTTAATCTGAGGCAGACATTCAGCAGGAAAACATCAACGCTTCTCCCCCCACCCTGCACCCCTCAAAAAACAAACACTGGGCAAAGTGGTAAGCAGGTGGAAACAGGTTCTTATAATAGGGAAGGGCTGGCCAAACTTAATAGGCTTTGCCTATAATTAGATGTTGGAGGGTCACTCTGCTCTTCATTACCCATTTATATTTAAGACTTTTTTAAGGCTAATACTTGGGACCTCAAGTGAACAAAATGTACTCATTTAAGTAGTTGTACAGTTGCCCTGACTCATATAATTGAGCATGAATTGTGGGTGGATGCTATCTATATTTGTTCACAACAATATTGCTTGGGTAAAAAAAAAAATGTACAGATTTTGTTTTTTCTTTCATTAACACTTCCCAGAACTGACAATATCTTAAAGCTGGCCAATAATTCTTAATTGCAATTCTTTTGTTGCAAAGAACTCAGAAAGACCAAAACAGCTCAGAATGTTTTTGACACTATGGATGCTTCTTTGAAATTCCTGGGCTTCTCTTGTGATTCATGTTTGTGCACCTAACCTAACAGCAATAACATCATGTGGCACTTAACAGCACTCTTGAAAGGATCTCAGTGTACTCTGAGATTCTTTGGCATCCTAGTTGAGAATCACTGGACTATTGGCAGCCAGCAGTACGTATGGAGACTCCACAGTTCATTCTGCACGTTAGTCAAGTTGTAGCATGTGCTGGCTGAATGGGCACAGTTGCCCACTTCAGTTGGCAGAGCCATGTCCATGCCAACAGTTTTGCAGGCAATGCTGCATAGGTTATAGGATGTGATGTATTTTTTTATGTAGCCATGTTGGCAGAACTTGTAGTGTAGGCTTGACTTTTGAGTCACCTTAATGCTACTCTAACTTATACTGGGAAGGAGACTGGCATAAAGGTGACCCAGGACCAGGGGTAGCACAAAAGCCATCTTTGTGCATACACACAAATTGCACTCTATGCATGTCTAGTTCTCCTGAAATCCCTGCTGAGAGGCCCACTTACCCTCATCCATTTCCACTTCCTTGGGTCACACTCAGAAAATGAAGCAGTAGAGCTTCCCTAGCTGCTAAGAAATCTGTCTTGGGCATGCCCTCAGGGCAGGCTCACCACCTCCTTCCCAGGTTTGGCTCAGACAAATGTGCTTCTCATCAGAGCTCAGAAAAGCATTGTGGAAAGGGTTGGTGGGCTGCAGCTAAGGGTTTGTGCCACTATAAATGTAAGGAGAACTTTACTCATGAAATAATAAATACTTAGGACCAAATTTGATCAATCAATGGAGGTTTGATAAGTATGTTTTCTCAGTGCTTGGACAGGGCTAGATTCATTTCTTCCTTTGGAGCTAGTCATTTCCCTTGAAGAACATGCAAAGAAAGAGCAGAGGGAAGCCTTGGCTTCAGTAACTTTGACTGTTAGTGTCTCAGCTGCTTCATTGTTCTAGACTCTTCCCTTCATGGTTAGATCCAAACTAACAGTGGAGATTCAGTGAGGCAACCCAGATGCAGAGCCTGTATGACTGAGTTCACTTCTTGAAATCAGGGTAAGTTTCATCAGTGCAAACTGTGACTGTCCTCATCCACACTAGGCATTGCACTGTTGACTGTTCACTGGTCTGGACTTAGTCCATGGAATAGAGGCAAGCTTCCTTACCCTAATTTTCCATCTCCTCTGCTGGAGCTAGTGGTGAAGTCATAATTCACTTGAGCTATGTCTCCAAGAAGGAAAAATGATATGCTGTTTGCTGATACTGAAATCCAGGTCTATAGACATGGCTGTGGTCAGGTAACATGTTAGGCTTGTCTGCATAGGAATGTTTTGCTCATTATATAGCTATAATTATATAGGAATATCCCCTCTGTAGAAACCCAGAGCTTGTCAACAGAGGAGGCCACTTAAAGAAGTTAAAGCAGATTACAGAAGGTGTGAATTTAAAGTGTATTAGTTAAAGTATGTTAAACTCCTGTGTGGATGCTGTCATTGAGAGAGGGGCCTTTGTTCTCTTCAAAAGGGATTAAGCTGAAGTGAACTAAGGCCACTTTTTATTTTTGACTGAGAGTATCCCCAAAGGGGTTTAGCGGGCTTTCACTAATACAGTTTAAATTCACACCTTTACTTAATCTAGCTTAGCTCTCTCTCACATCCCCATGCAGAAACCTCAATTGTTTCAATCCCTTCCAGTTTGTTCTGGAGTTTGTTCAACTAAGATGAAAAGGTCTCTCTTGTATCAGAATAAGCTATCTCTATGCTAACAATATTTTATCTGTACAAAAAGACTGGGATAGTACACTGGCAACATGCTTCTTCTACAGATCCAACTCTACTGGCAACAGGATGAATTGTATTGTCTTAGTAAAACCTTGCCCCACAAGCTAAACAGAAGAGTATGGTTTGTTTGCTAGTACTACACAGCAATCAGTGATCACGTGTCTTCATATTGGTGACCAACATAGCCATGTCGGCAGAAGTCTGTAGAAATCAGCCCTTAGAGTGTTTGCTATTGGTTTAGCTTTATGTTATCTACATCTGCTGTTGTTTCAGTGGTAGACACCTTGCCTGTTACATAAGAGACCCTGTTTCAATTTCCAGATGTGCATATAACTACAGCCACCAAGGCACTGAACATCTGGATTTCATCTGGCTTTAAGATTCTGTCTACAGGGGGAGAAAAAATTTGGACAGCCTCCACTCCTCCATACTCCTGCCTAAGTATACATGTCAAAGGTCCTGGTGATTTCTCAGATATACATCATAGAATCATAGAAAATTAGGGCTGGAAGGGACCTCAGTAGGTCATCTATTTCAACCCGCTGCTCAAAGCAGGACCATCCCCAACTAGGTCATTTCAGCCAGGGCTTTGTCAAGCCAGGCCTTAAAAAGCCTCCAAGGATGGAGATTACACTACCTCTCTAGGTAACCTGTTCCAGTGCTTCGCCACCCTCCTAGTGAGAAAGTTGTTCCTGATATCCAACCTAAACCTCCCTTGTTGCAACTTGATTCAGAAAGATAGAGGATTGCCTACTACTACTATATTATATAGGCAAGGTCTGAAATGACAAAGTAAACCTCACTGGAGTTGCTTTGACCTGCTAATATGTGACAAAACTACAACTTGTCTTCTCTTCTTTAGAGGGAAGAAAAAGAGGTATTTTAACTAGCAAACACAAGGTTTTGACACCTATGTTGAAAGTGCTAAATAAAACAATTGAAAGAGAGAAATACTTCCTAACCCTATTACAATGCAGTGAAGCTTCATAATGAGTGGAAATGCAGGACATCTGGGACTTACTTGCTACTTCATACAGATGCAATTAAACTGCATTAAGAATGTTTTTTCTGTATTAAGAGAGGCTGGGGTGTAGGAAAAGGAATACAGACTTTGAACTAATGCCAGGTTCTGTACCTTGAGGTAGCCTTCATATGTAACATGTGGAGTTTGTTTTCAAAGGCTTTG